CAGGTCGTCAACCATGTGGCCGTTGGCGAAGGGCTATAATGCAGTAGACGTTGCTCATCACCAGCCAGTTAGTACGCAGTTCAGGCGTTATGCATCTTTGTAATCTTTGAAGAGATAGGGAACAAGTGAGTAGTCTTTGAAGCTTATTGAACCAAAGAGTTTCGTGATTGAGTGTTAGTGAAGATGCGAAGAAGTTTTTTCATAGTTCATCTTAAACGCTACATTAAAGTCTTCATTGGCTGACCCCAAAGTAATTTGTTCAATATTAATATGTGGTTTTCATGGCCGTTTAATCACATCTTTAATTGACTTGTAGGAACTACCTAAATTTCCTGGTAGAGGAAATGAAGAATCCTGGCAGGTACGTGCCAAGCAGGTCAATGTGGCCTATTTCGAATGAAGATGGGACATTAATGCTGGTAGCACCGTTGTAGAAATCTACCGTTGGCCATCGGAATCGCGCTCACCCTGGTAACTGGTCTGTACATGCTGACAAACATTGCTTACATGGCGGTGCTCAGCCCCTACGAAATGCTGGCTACAGGCTCTGGATCCTCCGCTGTCGCTGTGGTGAGTTCAGTCAATCAAACTGCTGGGAAGGCTTTATACCGTAGTTATGTGGAGGAAAATTAGGCGCAACCTTGGGAGGGGGTACTTATGTGTATAAAGTAGGGAAGGAAATGGAGAGGGGGTTTGCAACTGCACAGATTTGAACACGTACTCAATCCGTTAGTATCGATGTGTGCTGTGAGTTAGAGGAAACTCCTTTGTAAAAACCACTAGCATCATGTTACTTTCAGGTGTTTGCCAAGCGTGCAATGCCCTGGATTTCCATGCTTATGCCTGTCTTCGTCGGTGCCTCTGTATTTGGAAGCATTAATGGTCTGGCGATGTCGATGTCTCGGTGGGTTACTTTTCTTTATTTGCCTCTTAATGAGGATCTTGAATTAGCTGTGATTTCGTGATTAAATTATATTTCCTTTTAATTTGTCTGTTCTAAAGTTTGACATACACTGGAGCCAGAGAAGGGCACATGCCCTCTATTCTCGCCATGATCCATCATTGCAACCTTACACCTATTCCCGCTATTCTGATATTGGTAAGACCTTTCTTTAATGCCTCCTAAAGTTACTGACCGATTTCAATCCTTAATCTCCTATAAATGCCGTTTTTCTGTTTACCCTGAAGCCAGATCACTGGCTATTGTTCTTCGGGTAGAGGCATAATGGTAAATCATCTAGTTTAATCGCCATTAGCTTCATTAAGCAATGAATGGCAGAATTGGACCACCTGACTAATAGCATGACCAAGTGATGTTTGGGTCAGTAATAGTCAGGTACAATACATCAGTGTGAAGTCCTTTCAGGCACTTTTAATCTCATTTTTGTAAAGTCAATCACTGATCTTGAATGAAACATCTCTCAACTGTTTTCCGGTTTCTTTGGCGAGTGGTGATTTGCTCTTTATTGTGTTTTTCACCGCAGCTTGTGTTGGCCGTCAGCTACCAGTTTTACAGTGACCTGTTCGCGTTGATTGAGTTGGCGGGCTTCGCGTTCGCCTTTATTGCAGCTTTGGCTGTGACTGCCCTCCTCTACTTGCGGTACAAGGAGCCCAATCTGAAGACATCGTTCCAGGTAAACAGCATATATCTTCGTACTTTGTTTTTTTGCCCTTTTGACCTTACTGCGACTCTCTGGGGTGGCATTTGAAATTAGGGTTGCATAAGACCTTAGTGCCTTTGCCTTGGTTCGCGCAGCTACCTATATTATTCCCCATCGTCTTCCTGGGATGTGATCTGCTAATTCTTATGCTGACGATATATCAACAACCGCGTGAGTCGCTCTCCAACGTGATTCTGATGTTGGTGGCGGTTCCCATCTACTGGTTGGGTGTTTCGTGGGAGAACAAACCAAAGGGCTTCCAGAATTTTATTTGTACGTGATTTCATTCCATTCAGTTATGAATGTTCTGAGACACGGTGTCACGCCTTTTGTGATCTGTTTTCCTTCCTTTACAGATAAGGGCACAGTATTTCTGCAGAAAGCGTTTGCCTGCGTGCCAGTGGAGGATGAGTCTCAATTGGAGGGGAACGCAGCTGCTCACGACGTGAACAATCATGTTGAGACCTTCTAGGCGCTTGGCGTTTATTTTCCACTCAGAAGATTCTCGTCCGTAAATTTACTGTGATTTCCTTGTCAGGAATTGTAGGTGTTCCCGCCCTTTCCCCTTGTGTCTACGTCCCGATCCTTCATCTCTATTTTTGTTGCTTCCGTGATGATCGGGCTGGTATCTGTTGGCCGTTCCTCTGAAAACTCTTTACTCTTGTCTGCTAGGTTGTCCATTCATTCCAATATGAATTGGTGTTCTGACTAATTGTTACAACTTCACGTTCTATTTTTGTTACTTGTTCATACCAGTTCTCCCATCCCGTTTGTACTTGTGCACTTTTCCATCCCTCTTATTGGTGTGGAATAATATACATTGTTCCCGTTTTCTCCAAAAGCTGCTCATCATCACAGGGTACTGGTGTTTGGACAGAATTTTCTCTCCTGTTTAATTACGTGGAGATCGTCTCCGTGAACTGTCCGTTGTCATAGCTCACAAATCCGGTCTTTAGGTGGGGAAGTTTAGTTACATGCAGTGCTTTAGTAGATTTTGATCATTTATACCTTTATGTCGCTCCCACTAATCAGGCCTTCACTCATTCTGCTGCTTCGCTAGGATTGGAATCGGAGGCAGTTGATTACTTCAGCGGTTTGATTTTATGTACTCAGAATTAAAAAAGGGCGCGATTAAGCCAGCAATGCATGTTGGAACATCATAAAAATAGGGTAGTGGGAATGCGTGGCGATACAGATGGAAGTTTACTACTGCATTCCGAAGTCAATGCTAATTTTATTCATCTCAGTTCTCTTAGATGCCTTCTTTTGAAGAAAATCTTGCGACTTACTTTGGTTCACCCCTTACATGATGTTGTATGTAGTTTTGGAGCTCAACAAGGATAACGTTCGAAGGATTCACTTTAATATTCGCCTGTTGATGTTTACTACACTATTTTCTCCAATCGAATCGTGGCATCCTTTTTTCGCTTTTGTTTGACTCCATTAGGTCTACCTCGCCTCGCATGATGCCCTTTGACAACGTGCAGTCTGGTTATCCTTAACTCTGTAAAATTTTAAGATGTTGTATTTTTTCGGATAAATAGTATGTGATGAGAAATCTCGCCTTTTCACCATTTTAAGTAAGTGAACTCGATTCCTTGTCTTGCTGCACCCCCGGCGTCGTCGTTGACTTTCCCTTACATTGGTACGTCCGCAAATGCAGTCGATTGCGCGCTTTTTATTGGAGGTCACATTTTGTAAACCTATTTCAAGGGATAAAGAAAGCGATTACGAGGCACGAAATCTATCTAAGGGAGGTTCTTCTTTGTAAGGTTTGAAAGGCGTCATAACAATTACTGCTTAGTTTAGACTCGAATTTTACCAACCATAAGGCAAAATTATCTCTCTAAGGACGAGCAAAACATACCCAAAACGCGGTGGTTCACGTGTAACATTCGTGATGAAGATAAAGAGGAATTTTTAACAGACAGGCCTTATTAGTGTACGAAGTTGGCACTCTCATCCAGTCGTGGCAATCTGTTTGGCAGCCATTTGTAGCAGTGTCACCCCACTCACCATACACGGCGAAGTCAATTGCACTTGCCAATCTGACCATTAGTATTATATAAATTCTGTGATCAAAATGGTGCTACGGGCTACTTAAACATATTCCAAGCCGGAACATTCGGTGCTGGGTCTCTTCCACACGCTTAGACGTGTGTCGAGTTAGAGCTCTGCGTTTGTACCGCTAAAGCGCTTTTAGATTTTGCGTTTGCGTCAGACAAAAGTGCCGAACAAAATCAAATAAAAAGAGCAACATGATTTGTGAAAAAATTCCATATTTCGTATCCATGACGGCTGTTAACATACGGCACTGTTAATCACCTCCAGGTTATGATTTATTTCCGTGTTCTTGATCATTTTGTGTAGCAGTGTTACAAGCACTCACAGTGATTGTTCATTAAGATTACAATGTCTAAGCTATTTTGCTTGAAATGTACACAGGAAATGTATGTTTAATGCTGATGTAGGTTATATCTAAATGTCAATCCTGCGTACGCCTTGTAAGTCACTATCTGAAGTTTAAAATAATCGCTTTTTCAAAGTACCCCTTGTAACAGCTTGCAGGCACGTAAGGGACATGCTGTGTGAATGAGGATTTGCATGATTTCTCACGGCATCACACCTCTGAGCAAGGTCACTGTCACCGCGCTCCCCTCCTACGACCCTGCTGCGTGGTAAGGCAGGCGACGTCTTGATTATAGAGGTGTTGCTCCATGCACGTCAGTGCGATATTTTCATGGTTTTGCATAGGATCTCAGACGTTTTATTTAGTCGGAGTGACTGTTTTGTATTATCCTTCGTTTGTAGGCTGGAAAATGGTTTTTGATGTCATTTAGAAAGGAAAGGAGAATGAGTAACCGTGGTTGAAGGGAACTTCTCTGCTGGTTCACACTGAATTTTGCAGCCGAATGCGGCTGATTGAGGTTACTGAGCTAGCTGAGGCATTTGTGGCTGAGAATGGAGCACAGCGCTTAATTATGTCGCTGTGCCTTTTCTGCTTCCTTCAACGCTGCCTCCGTCTAGATTCCTAATCCGACGAATTGGTGTTACTGATAGGCACATCTACAGTGATTCACAAACCCACATGAGGTGTAAAAAAGGGGCGCGTTGCGGCGATTTTACCCTAAACTTGGCATTTTTAACCAAAATAATGGATTGCGATGGATGGCAGGATAGCAGGGAGTGTATCAATCGCTCGCTGCTGTAAGATCTGTTATGCTCTGGTAAATGTGTTGGAAATTTCCCCCTTTTACCCAAATTGGTTGTAGTAA